GCCCGGTTATGGTTTGGACAATGACCACAGAGTGTCTAGAAAAAATAGAATAATATTGATTATAAAACTATGAAATAAAGCTACATTGTATTTCATATTTTCTCTCCCACAAACCATCCTTCCCTGTTCTAGTTGTCTAGCAATGTTAATATAATTGGCTAAGATAATTTTTCAGTACACTTCCGTGTTACTGGTGTATTATTACTTTAAAAAAATATTTTGTCTGTCTCAAAGAGATGATGGTGTGCTTTTTGAAAGGAGAAATCACAAGGCCTGGGATTGTTTTAGGAGAGTAAGCAGATAATATAGCTTGGCACCAGGGCCATGGCAGGAGGTTTTTTTTTGTTGAAAATAATATTGTTTTTATTATTTTTTAAAAAATAAATAAACCTTTACTTCAATAATAAATAGAGGTTTGAGCCTAACTATATTAACAGTTACAACTTGTTATCTATTTATTTATGCTTCAAATTTAGAATGTCTGAAACCTAGTGTGTAGATTTAAGAATCAAGTGAACAAATCTGAAAATTGGCGGTATGAAATGAGAATTCTAAATTGCTGTGAAATGTCAGTAATATCCATGATTAATTATTGTATCACTTCTATTTATGAACATATATTTTTTTTTAAATAGGGTAGGGAAATTTTATAATCAAAAACTCTAACATTGCTAATATTCTTTATACTTCTCATGGATCCAATAATTCAAACAAAAAAATCAACAAATTAATGCAATGTACAATTATACTACTGATACTAAGTTAAAGCTAACATGACCGGTATAAAAAAAGAGTTACTGGTCAGCTTACAGGTGTACATTGGGAGATAATCTCATTCACCACTGCTCCTGTTTCATCGTAAAACTTGATTGAATCAGTTTGGAATATGGATTCTTTGGAGTTGAATTTACCAACCTAAAGATCAAATGTAATAATCCCTGGTTTAGTAGAGTACTACTTAAATAATTCAAGTATAAGCCTATTTTATATTACAAATATATTTTTTTAGTATATCAAACCTCTAGTGGAAATTCACCAATGACCAGCTGCGTCTTGGGGCTATTTATATATCATTGGTTACAACCATTTTGGACCACCATCTTAAATAATTTCATATGTAACTGCTAATTTTGTTTGAATTTCTATACTTCCAAAAACATTTTAAAAAATAATAAATTTGTGAATAAAATTACTACTGTTAATGTTAAAAAGTGTCAACATTACAATTATCAAACTCTATACATAAATGTGTAAGTTGACAGGTTACCTTGACATAGCCATATTGGTTGATGCCTGTTTGTTGAATGTTGTATACATCAAAACCAATGGCTCCATTGCCATCTTTGTCAAACACAGGGTACATTAATGTGCCTTGCAATCTGGACTGCTGTTTGATCTTCCCCAAAACTTTGCTAACATATTGTCGTAAGTACTTACAAGGAAATGATCCTTCACAAAGTCTATAGAAACAAATATTTTTTTTTTATTGAAGCATATGGTTAAAAGTTTGGAATTATTCTTGTGTGACTATTTTCAATAGTTACATAAAATCAACACCTGAACATGAAAATCCTTCTTAAATATTATATTGCCAATATAATTGTAAAAGCTATGAGCTTATAGTCAGAATCTCCTAAAACACAAGGCATAACCAGTTACGAGAACATTCACTGAAATTTTATATTTAAATCTTATATAACAAATAGAAAATTTATTTTACATATTTTTACCCCAAAAATCTACAAAATAAAAAAAATTAGTTAAAAATAATCAGAGTTTGATATTCATTCTCAGTGAGTAGTAGGTCTTGTTGAGTAGTAAGTCCTGATGAGTAGCAGGTCTCGGTGAGTAGTATGTCTCAGTGAGTAGTAGGTCTCGGTGAGTAGTAGGTCTCGGTAAGTATTAGGTCTCCATGGGTATAAAACCACAATATTTTCTAGTTGTTCCCACACACTGTTATGAACTGGTTTTGTGAGCAATTTTGGGTTGTGGACTGTATGTGAAGTGAGGGGGGGGGGCATAAATTGTTTACTTAGAGCTAGTTATTTGATTGGTCGAATTTTAAATGGCAAAAAACTAGTGAGGCAAATAATGCTGTTTGAACATGGGGCACAAGCAGTTATCGTCATATTCTGCAAATTTATGTTAAAGTCAGTGTTCCTGAGTGTTGTTAGCAGATGGTCCTGAATTCATAAATGGAGGGTCAGCCATCTTGTTTGCTGTTATCAAGGAGTTTTCATAATGAGCAGCTTGTGGTTTTGAGCACAGTATAATATTAAAGAAGAACTTGTAAATAATGAAATCTGTTATCTTCACTAGGCATTGTTTCTTATCCTTATCATCTGGTGTGGACAAAGGGATTTTTTTACATTATACAGAGTTTGTTCCTTAGAAAACAATGAGAGCCCATCAAAATACCCGTTTGGTTAAACACACCTACTGCTAGAGTTTGCTACATGATGAACTTATCCTAAGAAGAAGGTTTGCTACACAGAACTATTAAAATAAAGGAACTATTATTTATTTTGCTCACTCTTTTTTAGCCTCACTCAATCCCATTCCCATGGCATACACGGCATTCATTGTTTGCTTAAGCCGTTGCTCGTTAAGTCGTCTGTACAGATCCTCTGGACTTAGCCTCAAGGAGGGGTCGCAATCTCTGATGGGAGAATAATTCAAACATTACCATATAAACATAAGTTCTAATCACCATTTTAGGAATAAGCACGACGAAAAAATATATATTAATAGTTTTAAAAATCCTCATTTTTATACCATCAGTTTTATCAAGTTTAAATGTACTATAATCTTAAAAGACATATTACAAAACAAAATGATAGATAAGTAGAGTTTCAGTTGAATGAATAATATATTACACACGCCAACAGTAAAAATATGTTTTCTTGGTGGCTTGAGTTGTATGTGTTCCTGATTTTATATGGGAGGATGATTCTAAAAATAGCACCCGATTTATCATAATGGCTCTGGTTTTTAAGATATTCTTGAATTTATTTTTTTAAAGCTTTTTTTCTCTATAAATATAATGTCTCTTTTACTGAACTAAGGTGTCAATAAAAACCATTATGACATTAATGGAAAATGCATTTGTTTAAATTAGCCACATTTTGTTTGTGAGCAAACACATTTGTCTACTTCCTTTTTATCATAGGAATGACATAAAATTGTTCAAAGGACAACATTAACTATTTTCTGCTTTATTAACTAGGCAGCCTATGTCAACTATGTGCACAATTATTAGATGGTAAGTCAAGATTTTCTTAGACAAGTTTAATTTTTAATTTCCAAAACTTCACAGCTGGTCCAGTTAAAAATGGCTGCATACAGAATATAGAGTTTATTTCCAACATGTAGGAAATATGTAAGAGTGTTGGACTGAGATAAAGCTTTAATTAAAATAGATTAATTAGACACTCCTGTTTTTTCTCATTTTTTATGTATGAGATGTGTATATATATATAATGTAAATTTAATATATACTTATTTTAATGTTTTGTTGGTATACTGTTGAAGGCGTGTGCCGAAACTTTTACTTGTGTGTTATCATAATTATTATGTAAAATTATAATTAAAGCTTAACATATATTGTTATTTTGACAAAAATGATTTGTGTCTAATTAATCTAGGAAATCTGTACTGGTTTTCAAAGATAGAAAATATATAGGTTACTAGGTGCCAAGCTTGGTGATCAAAATAGGCCATGGGCTCTTCATGTTGTACGCAAAATGTGTATAGAGCATTAATTGCTTCAGAGGATGAGCGCTTTTATAGAATGAACTTCAGCCCGCAAAACAAAAATTAGATTTCATTTAAGGACAAAAAAGGAGTTGCTTCCATTTTTACCGAAGACAATAACTTAATATTGTGCAATAACATCAGAAATCTGAAGAAAATTTGTCTTTCAGAAGATAACCCAAGTGTATGGCGTCCTTTCATTGAAAGTCAAAACGCAGTTTGCAATATGTTCTTTTAATAAATGGCAACAAATGGGGTTTATTCAAATGAGTCATCCCCAGGATGAAAGAAGAGTTCAAGAAAACCTCTGTAGTCTCTGAAAAGATAAATTACTAAAACGTCATTGGGTTAACTTAAAAATAATTTTTCTCCCATGGTTTATGAAGTTCTTACATAAAGATTCTTTGCTCCTTGTGTATTTTGGGATATTAGAGCGAAACATGAAAAAGTGGCAAACAAATTTTAGTCTCCGAGGAATACATGTTGGTCGGAGAAAAATGTAATCATTCTACTGCTAAAATGAATGTAAATCTAACCCCGTCTGGTAAAATAGTAGCTATTTAAAAATGCTTTGAAAAAATACTTTAATGCACGTTGAATATGGACTAACCACATAGAAAATAAAACTGGAACTTTTATGGTCCACAGCTTAGAAAATGCATAAATGACCCAACTTTTCATAGAATTAATGAATTAAATTGTGCCCAGTCTTAATTAACTCTAGTATTGAAAAACTTTATTGCACTTACTTAGGTTTCTGCTCAGTGTAATTTAGGCAAAGAGTGATGCGATATATTTCACAATGACACATACTCGCAATGGCAGTCAGATACAAAGAAAGATAAAATGCACATATGATGGGGATTTTTTTTATCCTAAATCAGCATTGTCTGAAAAGCCACACCTCACCAGATTTCAACTAAAAGAACATCATTTGTGTAGATATATAAAACAAAGTTTCCAGTAAATCTAATATTCTGGTATGGAATAAGCAAATTTTCATGTATCACATTTTATTTAGATAATAGTTGTTAGTGTTAATGCTTAAAAATGACTTATTTAAATATCTCAAAACTAAAGCTGACTGAGCTAAGGGTGTCAATTTTGGAATCAGTGGGTAAAAATACCTTAAAAAATAAAATATTTGAGGAACCAAATTTTGTGTTGCTCAGTGCCCTATATTATTAAAGCAATATATAATATAATGAAATACCTTACATTTTAAAAGTGTTAATCAAGCCTCCTTTAAAATTGCAATCAAATATGTGCTGCCAAAACTCAGGGAACCAGATATTTGTGTCATTGACAGAAGGTGATCTTGATGCCAGGTAAGATCTAAATGCTGCGTCAGATTCCAAAGCAATGTCCTCAACTTTGAGAGTGATTGATCCTCTGGCAGATCTTGGTCCTTCTTGAAGGATGTAGTCATTATTTCCCCAGTCTTCACTGCCAATGAAAATGAATTTCCCATAACGTTGGTCAACCTCAAGATACTTTAAAAAAGAGCGATACCTCACATCAATTCCAAAGAAAACAACAACCTTGACCTGTTGTGTGACTAGCTGTGACCATGCTTTAAAAAATTCTGCATCATCATAATCAGACATTTTGTCACCTATTTCAATTTCCTCAGCAACACAGACACCTGAATCTTCCGCAGCAGCAAGGGTTTTGAATGCTTTCATTGCCTTAGAGCCATAGTTATTTTTAACATACATTAAACCCACATATTGCCATTTCATGGCCTTGATAATATTGAGCATGACTTTAGCCTGGAATACATCACTTGGAACAGTTCTGAGAAAGTAAGGGAATTGAATTCTGTCATCCAAGTCAGCAGAACTTGATGAGTAGGAAATAACGGGGAGATTTAGAGCTTTGAAGAATAATGCTGTTGAGATTGTGCAATCACTTGAGAGACAGGCGACCACACCAACAAGTTTATCCTGAGAAATTTTAAATGGAAATAAATCACTGTTAGATTCCACTAAACCAGATAAATAATCAGATATGATGCTGATGGAATGCAATGGGCTGTCACAATCGTCAATGGCAATTGCACCAAAATTGATATTTGTGAGAGCACGAAGTTCCTTAACTGCAAAAAAAAATCCTTCCACTGCAATAACATCATTGGAGACAGATCTAAACACCCCACACTTAAAAGGGTCATCTATATTAGGTTCATGTGCTGAGAACACACCTAGGATATAGGCATCCCCTTCCATGAATGCTAAAGGAATTTTGCCTGCATTCAAACAATCATCGCAGCGTCCTGTACAATCTGATCTAGGGATTGTAGGGGACGGAGTTCCATCAGGGTTCAACATCTGAACATTTGACATGTTAATGAGTAGCTGATTGTTGATATAGCTGCCAACTGGTTTGTACTGAAGATGGAAACAAAACAAAAAGTTTTTTTAAAATATGATTGGTTTTGTTATGTCCTAGATTATAAACACAACCAGTGGGTGTAGGTAAAACTATATAGCTAAGAATTTTATGAAATGGCAAATCAAATTTAGATTTTTATGTTTATTCCATGTAAGCAAAAAAAAAAAAACTGCACTAATTTAAATTCATTTTGAATAATTTTGTCCTGTAACTAAATCTTAACTATATAGTTTTTCCTACACCTTTTATTTGTGACTTTTATCTAAGCTTAAGGCTCAAACAAGGGTAAACAAAAATATAGCGTTAAAATCCATTTTTATCTCAACTATTCAGAACATGAATAGATTGTTTAAAACTTTCCCAGTGTTTTAAAGAGTAATTAAAATTAAAAGAATACTTTTCTAATTCATCATAAAATTGTATCAGGAAACATCTTATTTTGTGCTAAACACATGTTTTAGCGACTCTAGTCCATTTAATTACTCCCAAAGTTTCATGTCCATAATAGCTTATAATTTAACCTACCATCTTGTCCTGGTATTGGTAAACAATGTAAGTAGGCACATTGTTAACTTGCTTCATATCTCCATTTTCCTCAAAACTGAATTTGTAATTATTATCCTTAAATTTGTTTGGAGGAATGCCTCTACCCATTTTGCCATAATCAACATTTACATGAAAGACAGCTTCCACCATGGCGCCTTGGTCAATGGCTGATTTCTAGTAAAAATAAATGCTGTGAATTATATCATTATTTTGAAATTACCATTTGATAATTGTAGGTGGTTAAACGGATAACCCAGGGTGTACAAAGATTAAGTTATTTCAAATTTTTTTAAAATTAAATTTGAAAGCATTAAATTTTAACTGGACGTTTGATAGATTTTTAGGTCTTTGCATAGATTTATTAAGTAATTAGAGTTTTGAATTTAGACATCAGTGTAATGACTTATTTATGTTTTCATATAAAAGATAAAAAAATATTTACTACCATAAGTTGTTGCTTTATAGAAAACGATCTGATAGGGGAAGTTTAGTAAATTAGATTAAAGACACAAAATATTACAGAAAACAAAAGAAGTGAAGACTAAAAAATATTTATTACCAGTTTAGGGCACACTCCAGGCACTCCTAAGCACTGCTCTGTGTGCTTATCTTTAAAACTTTGAACCAAAGCAAATATGGCATGCACAAAGTTGGGAAGTAAAGAATTATGACTCTTTTTTGGGAACAAATCCTCCCCTGGATATCCTCTGATGTATTCCTCTATCAAACTGTGTTGTTCTTGCTTAGATTTTACTAGTCTGGAATAGGATAAAATAACATAAAGAAAACTTGTTATTTCTAATATCATTTTGTTTCAGTTTTTGACCAAGGTTGTTTTCCCATTTAACTTTCTTACTACATTATTCTAATCTCTTACTACATTATACTAATCTCTTACTACATTATACTAATCTCTTACTACATTATAATAATCTCTGACAACATTATAATAATCCCTCATTTAATTAATTCATCAGTGGTAACATTTTAATGAGTTTTTTTTAGGTCAAATTACTAAACACAAATAATTTATCAAAGCTATGTAAAATGTAAATTGGTGTAAATAGTCCTATTTTTTTACTTATTTACACAAAAACTGTGCTGCATAACAATCATAATATACAGATATAATTAAATGGAATGATAAATCATATAGCCATGGCTATTTATTTTAATTACTTTATTTCAAATGCCAAAAAATAATAAAAATTGTTCTTCACTAAAATATAAATACAAAAAGGTTTTTGTAACAACAATAAAATTCCAAACATTTCAATTTTAGAAGTTAACCAACTCAAATTGTAGCCAAGATATAATTCCATTCTGTCAAAGTTATATTTCCATAGTGTCGATACAAATAGTTCAAATAGACACATCCCTTTTTTGGTTGTAAAACAGTGCTAAATGAATTCCCTTGAAATAAGGAAGTTGTTGCAGTTAGAAATAAAAAAGGGTAAAAACCTTAAGGAAGTATTTCCTTATCATAAGAAAGGTTAAAAACCTTAAGGAATTATTTTCTTCTAATAAGAGAGGGTAAAACCCTTAAGGAAGTATTTTCTTCTAATAAGAAATGGTAAAAAACTTAAGGAAGTATTTTCTTCTTATAAGAGAGGGTAAAAACCTTTAAGAAGTATTTCCTCATTATTAGAAAGGGTAAAAACCTTAAGGAAGTATTTCCTTATCATAAGAAAGGGTAAAAACCTTAAGGAATTATTTTCTTCTAATAAGAGAGGGTAAAACCCTTAAGGAAGTATTTTCTTCTAATAAGAAATGGTAAAAAACTTAAGGAAGTATTTTCTTCTTATAAGAGAGGGTAAAAACCTTTAAGAAGTATTTCCTCATTATAAGAAAGGGTAAAAACCTTAAGGAAGTATTTCCTTATAATAAGAAAGGGTAAAAATCTTAAGGAAGTATTTCCTTATAATGAGAAAGGGTAAAAACCTTAAGGAAATTTTCCTTATAATATGAAAAGGTAAAAACCTTAAGTCTTAAGGAAGTATTTACTTATAATAGGAAAGTATAAAAACATTAACGAAGTATTTCCTTGTAATAAGAAATTAAATGGTAAAATCTTAAGGAAGTACTTCCTCATAATAAGAAAGGGTAAAAACCTTAACAAAATATTTCCTTATAATAAGAAAGGTTAAAAATCTTAACTTAAGGAAGTATTTCCTTTTAATAAGAAAGGGTATAAACCTAGAAGAAGTTTTTCTTTATAATAAGAAAGAATAAAAATCTTAAGGAAGTATTTCCTTATAATAAGAAAGGGTAAAAACCTTAAGGAAGTATTTCCTTATCAGCTTAAAAGTTTTTTTTAAAAATAAAATAAACCTGAATTTTTCTTGCAAATCTGCCAGTAGATCTTCTAAAATAAGATCTGCTGTACCTATGGCCAGAGTACCAGAACCAAATTCTTTTTTGTCATAAATATCTGTTTCTGTTTTGGAAGCATCAGAGAGAATGACGTGGAAGCCATATTTTCCAATTGCAATGTTGTCAATAGTCCAAAAGAGTTGTTCAGCATCATCTTTTCCTCCAATAAAAACCAAGCCTATGGAGGAGTCCTTGACATTCTGAAACATTGAGTTACCATATAATAATAAAAATACATCATTTATGTGTTCAGCAAGTTACTCAATTGTTTAAACATTTACTATTGTTTAAAGGTTTAAATAAGTATCTTGAAATTTTAAAAATTAGATAAAAGAATATAAGTCATTAACCAAATAACTAGGATTAAACAATGCGGTGACATAACACAGAGGTGAAGATAATTTTAAATATTAGCTTCACTCCGGTAATTATGCATCTGAATGAGAAGTTAAAATAATATGTTGTTTTTTTCTCAAGTTTAGGTTGCAACAATTTTTTGTTACGTCCACAACTGAAAAGTTCAGTGTAAATTTATTTATTTTTTACCTCATCAAGGAGCTTCCTTAAATTCAGAGTAAGTTCTTGATTTGTTTTGTTGCTAACTTGTATCATCTTTTCAATACAGATGCCAAGTTTTTCTGCCTTCTGCTTCAACAGTTTGGCCCCTGAAACAGCAGACTCTTCGTTTGTGTAGGCCACGGCCATGTACGACCAGAAGAATTGCTTGGCCAGGTTAGCAATTAGCTGGAGAAAAAAATAAACAGTCCAAGTACAAATTATGTTTGATGGTTTAAGTTGAAATTATAATTGAATAATTGCCTTTGATGGTATCAGTTGCATTCTTTTAAAACCAAGACAAGGAAAGATTTTGCTATAAATTGTATTTTCAATTGTCTATTTGCTCTCAAACTCAAGCTACTCAGAAGTTATTGATAAAAAAAAATACCTAGACTATTTAAATCTTGAAATTTACTGGCTACTTTTTTTTTTATTCTGGGAGTAGTCGTGTCAGATCTAACTGTACAATGATTCAGTTGCTTTTGCAAACTGGCCATGGACATTCAGTATGAAATACTAAGCAACCAGAAAGCGTTTAGTTCTTTGGTACTTTGGCCTTTATCGGATTCTTAGGATTCTAAAATTATGTAGGTACATATGCTAAATATCGAGCTTTGTTCAGACGTGTCATTATATAAAATTAGTTTTAACATACCATTTTTTCTGTTCTACCAAACACTAAAGCCAAAGCACCAATTCTCAATTCTAAAGCTAAGACAAGACAGTGGTCATGGGCACAGCACTATGGCTGGGTCAAAGTGGGCCAAGGTGGGTCACGTAACTGTGGAATTTACATTGTTTTCAAAATAAAGACCCCCACCCCGGGGGGGGGGGGGTTTAACCCCCCCCCCCACGAATAATAAATGTTTATTATATTTTTTTAAAATGTATTTTACTTACATCCATTTGTTTATCATCCGAAGGCACGGTCCGCACAAAGGTGGGATAGTTGGTATTGTTACTGAGCTCTATACTGGTGGCCGCTGGGCTGATGATTGGCACCTTGACATCTCTCATCAGGGAGGCAACTCTGGTGGCCGTTGAACTACGAGTTGGTCCAATGATTCCTTCA